TCGAAGCCGTACAAGCTGCTGTGGACGAGGCTGCAGCGCATACATCGCCGGTGGGTACAGCCGTGCGCGCCAACAGTAATGCCAAAGGACTCAGTGCGAGACCGAGCGCCTTGGGCTTGGAGCAATCTTGAAAAAAGTCAAACGACTGCTGGACGTACGTTGTACGTGGTAGCGTCATGCACAGCGGGTCGCCGCCGTAGTACGCGTAGTTGCTGCGCCATTGCAGTGGCATCAGGTCCACACTCAATGTCGCAAGGGACCCGCGAAGTCCGCTGGTGCCAAGCTGCAGCAGAAGGCTCGTCTGCGCTGCTTCGTACGCCTGGACAAGACCAGACGGCACGGCAAGAAGAAGGCTGTCGACGTTTTGGAATGGCCCAACGACCCGGCGAAACACAGCGGGCTGCTTGGCAAACTGGCCCGAGACAGCGGTGTTCCCGAGGGCCACTTCGAGATCGACGAGGGGCAGTGCGGACGAGATATTGGATCCGAAATACCGCGACGAGCCGCGGACAAAGCTACGGTTGAGCGACTGGGCGATGCGGAGGTCGTTGAGCGGCAGAGAGAAGAGCTGCGCCGACGTCCAGGGTCCCGTGCCTTGCGCGAAATTCTTGACCGTCACCAGCTGCTGCAGTCCCATGGCGTTCTCTAGGAGAATGGTTTCTGTGATGCCGGGCTGCCACCGGTTCTGCCACTGCAGCTCAAACCGATCCAACTTAAACTTTCGCCAATACGTTAGCTCGTCACTGATGCTGGTCGAGGCGCGCGCCGTCGACACCTGACTCAAGAAGGCTTGCCCTTGCGAAGTTTCTTGCAGCGCTCGCTCGTACGCGATGACAAACCGACTGTTGACGCCGCCCCACGTCGCCATATAGTCGACCCACACCACATTGCGCAAGATGGCCTCAAGGTACGCGGCGCCGTTGGTCGCAAACTGGTCCTTGCAACGCTGCTGACGCGTAACCGTGTGGGCAATCTCAAACGACTGGCTAAAGTCGACCCAGCAGTGCTGCATGTTCATGCGCATCGACCATGCAGCGCTGAGTGTCCGAAGTTGCGGCACGGCGTACTCAATGGTCGTGAGCTCCGTCAAAAGAATGCGGCGAGAGTAGGTGGGTGACATGCTTGTGGTGGCCGTCGACGCGTTGTAGAGCTTGTTCATGGTTGCGGGGGCAGCATAGATACTGAGGGTTGACGCAGCCGTCAGAGCCAGTTGCGCATTGATGAGGTCGATGAGCAAGGCCTCCCCCGCCGTCGGGGTAAAGCCAGCCCACCAGAGGTCATTCGCGAGACTTGGCGAGAGGAGCGAGAGGTACCAGAGACCGATACCGAGCGAAGCGACGAGGTAGAAAAGACCTGCGACGACGAGCGTCGGCTGGTGCTTGGAGGCGACCCGGACGTTGAACGATGGTGCGAGTTCGAGCGCCTCCGCGTTGGCTAGTGGCATCGCGTTTGAGGGTAGTTCACGGATAAAGAGAAATGCGGCTCCCTGCTGTGGTTGAGGATTTAGTATATAAATACGATATAACGGCAAGGGAGTTTTGCCTATCCAAAAGACATGCAAACGAAACGCGACAATCAGGTTTCGCGCCATTAAAATACGATGGGTGGATCGAGCTATCGTCTTCCTTGTAGCTAGTGAACGCGCCATTTGAAGCTCTCT